TCTAAAATTCTCAAATCTTTCCCATACTACAGGAGAAATGGTGACAGAATGACCATGCTAATTGCGTTTCAGAGTAATATTTTCAGTGAAATCTTATGTGATGGTGTCCAAAGTAAAGCCATATCTCCTGCACTACTAGCATAAGAGATATAGAATACCCTTCTCAAAAACAAATAAATAATTAACTGGGGCTTCTGTTTTTTGTTGTTATGTTTCTTAGGAAGGAAGTCAGCTTTACTCAGAAAAGTTTTAGCGCAGGGTGTTTTCTACAGATAGCAGGCTGACCTTGCAGCCAACTGTACAGCAGTTGGTGAAATAAAGGCCTTTGGTGAAATAAAACCTAAGTTACAAGTGGCATGATCTAGGTGTTATTACTGTTAACTGTGGGAGTATGATACATTTCCAGACATTCCTTTTAAATGTAAAGCACTGCTTTAATCTGGATAGATGAACCAAGCTCCTCTGAGATGCTACTCCTCTGGAAAAAAAGAAAAAAGAATAGAACAAGTAAAGACACCCAACTTAATTTCTAGACATCTTGGAAGTGTCCCAGAATTGTTATTTAAACTCATAGGAGGATATTACTTTCTCTTGTGATCTTATCTACTGAGCATTTGACAGACCTGAGTTCAATACTGGCATAAGAAGCTTCATTATTCCATGTGGCTGCCAGTATCCTTTCTACTAAAGTCGAACTTGCTTTCTTAAATCCTCAACAACTTAAATCACTCTATTACCACTACAAGATGCCACGTCGCCAACAGCACAAAAAGTCCCAGGAACTGACCCTACTCTAACTCACTAAGAGGAAATCTGATAACTGTGCCTGAAGCATGTGCATATGAGTGGGTGAGTTCATTAACATAACTTATAATTCTTCTCCATTTAAAATAGCACACTGCTTGACGCAGAAAGCCTGTGTGTCAAATTTGTCAATGAAGAGAAATAAGCCCGAGTATCAAGCTTCCTGTTCTTACTTCAGTTGGTAAACTGTCATAGGCTTCAGTAAGAGTATGCTGCCTTAAATATTCCTAAACTAATAAAATATGGATTCAGAGATTTACTTTGAGCTTGAGCCCAGTGGCAAGCATCTTGTGACAGTAGTAAAGAATGAGAGAATCTCTTTCTTCCAGCTCACTGATTATCCTTTTAGGAGGAGGAGGGAGAATCTGAAGAGAGGGCAGCAATTTATGTAACCTGACCTAAAGCTCACTGAAATCAATAGGAGTTTTTCATTGTTTTAATGGAGTTTGGATTAGGCCCAGTGCATTTACTGAAAAATGAATGGACTATGATGATCCAAATCTGGGCACTGCAACTGGCTGTCGGCTCTAATTAGAGTGCAGGGATTCACATTCTGTATAGTTACTGCGAGATCTTCACACTGGGGCTATGCAAGTCAGACCCTAGCACAAGTTAGGGCTTGCGCACCTGCTTAATTGTAACATGCACAAGGACAGAACATTATTTTTTTATGTTTTAGTAACAGAATTTTTGTACTCCGATGAGCTGACAAAGTTTCTTTGTGCTGTAACATAAAATAAAAGTATAAAAGGTTTGTCCACGATTTTTTTTCCAAGCATTCTTGGTTTTTAAAAATTTGACCTTCACAATTTAGATTTTACATATTCCTCCTTTGGGAAGGCTGTTTTCTTGGTAGCTCACCTTTCTACTAAAGGATTTGCAAATATTATAAATGCTACAACTAAGCCAAATATCATCTGAGCTGCTTTTAACCCGGGAAATAATTTCCATCCCTGATCTTTGCACTCCTTTGTGTTCATAAGGTTAAATACAAAAATGCCTCATAATCTGAATGTCAGATAGGCACACCTTAGAGTGGAAAAGGCACGATAAGCATACTTATTCTAGTATCTCAACGTTATTCTTAAGGCATACATTTTAGTTTTTCCATTATTGTCAAAAGTAGCTTTTAAAATGCTTGCTTAAATCCCTGGACTTACTTTTTAAAAAAAATTACTTGTTAGCATTGAGTAATTTAAGTTTGTATCTTTCCTATGAATCCTAGATGTTATCGAGCTGGATAAAAAAGCCAAGAATACATGCCATTATTTTGTTTATTTCTGGTTCATTGCTTTTTACTTGGGTAAAACTTGGGTTTTTTTGTTTTGTTTTTGTTTTGTTTTTTTATAATGGACTAAATTTGTTGTGATCAATAATCAGAGAGGGACCAGAATAGATGGCCTGAGACTAAAATCTTTCTTCTCTTTGCAAAACAAGCCCTCTAGGCAAGATTTTTTTGCATTAGACCCTAATACCAATTTGAAGTCTAAACAAGATCATAAACCCAAGCATGGTGAAATTTCCATCATGAAACTAATGGGAATCTTCCAGTGAGTTCCTGGGCTTATGGTTCCTGTAGGTGACATGCTTTGCATAGCTACGAAACTGTTGGTATAAGTGCTTTCCAGTTCTCCAGATCATGCCAAAGTCATGGTTGTTTTCCTAAATATAGAGCTAGGAGCTATATAGCAGTCCATTTTGGAGACCTCACTGTGGCAAGAACTATGGAACTTAAGTTTTAAGTCTGAAATTCAAGTTTGTCCTGTAGTCATAATTGTGGCACATATGGGAATCAGGGTTTTGACTGCACACTCAGTTTGCTTAGGTCACTTACTCTCTAGGAGGTCCAGAAACTCCCTCTCTAGTCATCTGCACAGATGAAACATAAAACCAACTTGAACTGATGGAACTGACTTAAGACGAGATAAATGATCAAACTCCTAGCCTTCTTCACAAGCAAATATTTGACTAATTCATGTTCTCCAGGTGGAAACTTTGGACAGTTCTGAAGATTCCTCCAGGCAGGTCCTGCTGTGCCTGCTCATACCATGCTCTTAAGTTCTTCAAGCTCAGATCAACTAAACATCAGCAAAAGTTAGAGTATGATGCCTCTTACCACGGCAACTTCACATTAGCAAAATCAGATCCTACTGAATACCAAAAAAGGAAACTATCAGCTGTTAGTTCCACTCTGTCCATAAGAACCAGAAAGACTTATCTATTTTTCCTATTACAGTTATCCACGCAGACACAGGTGTCTTTGATAGCACCATGATTATTTTAGGCAGTCTGAAACAGATATAACTGAACATAGAGATACGTTTCAGGTTATATTCAGCAATTGGCTGAAACAACCCCAGGGTTGGGGGTAAGTAATGCTGGGGTAGAGGTTAAAATATTTTGGTTAAAGGTATCTCCCCTCTTTCAAGCATTAGTCTAAAAGTATTGCTGTATTCCTTACAAAACATGTTTGAAATATGCAGTCCATCTCCAGTTTTTGGAATTTCTCATTCTCCCACATCTTTTCTTCTCAAACCCTTTTTCTAACAAGATACATATCTGTTCTGGATAGCAGAGGACAGAGAAGGCAGACTCCAATTCTCAAGCAAAGAGAGCACTCAACGCAGAGGGGTTTCCTATGTCAATACTGCACAATTTGCTCTCTCACAGCACCTTCTAAGAGGTCTGGAAACCTGAGAAGATGGAAGAGACTCACTGCACAGGGAGTTTGGAGCTCCAGGATGTCCATTTTGGCATGAGGGAGATTAGCACAGGAAGAAAAACAATTTTTGTTTTATTTTTCCCATCAAACCAAATTTTAGGCTACGCTGCTCTCATACAGCACAATGTAAGGGAGCCTAGAGTAATAGGGTATTAAACAAGAACAAGAGACATGGGGCATCAGAGATTTATGTTCTCCAATTCATCTGGATTTCAAAAGTATCCCTATCAGAAACTATGTTGATTAACCTCTCTGTGGGAGGGTCAGAGATATGTTCTCCTCCTGCACCTTCCTCCCTTTCCTTGAACTAGTAACATGGCCTTGCCTGAATATCAAATGGGCAAATTACTTGAACTCAGTGTCAGTAGAATGGGTCTGGATCTTTAACTGCTTAAAGAAATACATCTAAAAATTTAAATATACGTACAGAACTTTGGAAAAGATAATGAAGCCTCTCTTTAAAAGAAAACCATCCATCTTCTAATTTACTTCATAGTCAAAACAGCAAGAGTCTTCTCAAAAAAAAAAATACAAAGCTATTAAATCAGAGCAGAAATGCAAAACTATAGTTCAGGTGCACACACACATGTTCACCCTGTTCATTCCCTTAGTAACATGGAAAATGTCATGTTCACTTGAGATAAGATATGACTAGAAGCACAGTTACACTCAGAGTAGAAAAAGCATCCAGGAAACAGGAGGAGGTTTTTTTAAAAGAAACATTTATACAAATTTTGAAGAAAGGCATTTCACACAATTCATAACACCTCTGCTTAGCACCATCTTATATTAAATATGACCCATGATTTAAACTCACTCTTTTCTGCAGCTTAAATACAAATACCAGATCAGATCCCCAGCTGGTATAAACCCCCTCATCTTCACTGGCCTTAGTGAAGTGATATAGTGGTTTTTTAACCAGTTAAAAATTTGACTCATACTAAATGAAATCAGTGTTAATATTTCAAATTTCTCGACCTACTGGAAAGCAGCTCTGCAGAGACAGACCTGGGGGTCCTGATGGACAACAACTTGAGCATGAGGCAGCAATGTGCCCTTGTGGCCAAGAAGGCCAACGGTATCCTAGGTTGCATTAGGAAGCGCGTTGCCAGCAGGTCGAGTCAGGTGATCCTTCCCCTCTCCTCAGCCCTGGGGAGGCCTCACCTGGAGTCCTGTGTCCAGTGCTGGGCTCCCCAGTACAAGAGAGACATGAAGCTCCTGGAGTGAGTCCAGCGAAGGGCTCCTAAGCTGATGAAGGGGCTGGAACATCTCTCCTCTGAGGAAAGGCTGAGAGAGCTGGGTCTGTTCAGCCTGGGGAAGAGAAGCCCAAGGGAGAGCTTATCAAGGTACATAAATATCTGAAGGGAGAGTGCCGAGAGGACGAGGCTCTTCTCACTGGTGCCCAGTGATAGCATGAGAGGCAACAGGCACACAAGCTGAAACACAAGAAGTTCCTTCTGAACACGAAGAAAAACTTCTTTGCTGTGAGGGTGCCTGAGCACTGGAGCAGGTTGCCCAGAGAGCTTGTGGAGTCTGCTTCCTCGGAGGTATTTAAAAGCCACTTGGACACTGTCCTGGGCAATGTGTTGTAGACGTCCCTGCTTGAGCAGGGGGATTGGACTAGCTGATCTCCAGAGGTCCCTTCCAATCTCAACCATTCTGTGATTCAATCGTATGTATCCAAAGATAAAATACAATTAGAACAATTAGAAAGAAAGACGCACTAATTCTTTTACAAGGTGACATTTTGTCTATAAAACACAGCTCTCACTTACATATGACCCAACCCTCAGCATAATAAGGAGAACACATATCAAGTGGTATAGGGGAAATTTGAAGTTCACAGAAAGATGCATCAGAAAGGGACAATGACGTTAGTGGCAATTGTCTTTTCCTTAGTACTACTTCCCTGTACAATCTGCAGAATTCAGTCTCCAAAAAGGTTTCCTAGAGCAGTGCAAAGACTACAAAAAATTGTTTCATGTTGTCTACAATTATGGTGGAAGGAAAAAAAACCATGTTAAATCTTAAGGAGAAAACACATGGCCAAACAGCATTAAGTAATTCCTCATCTTTAAACAAACAAACTCTGACTCTTTCTCTACAGAAAAAGCATTGTTAAAAACACTGGCAGTAGGATCCATTATGGACAGATAAGCATTGGCCTTTCCCCTTTGTTATGGGACAACCAACAGGTTTGAGGCATTCGTAAAACTCACCACGAGGGCCATGTTTTCAAAAACTCTCATATGTCTCATTCAAGCATCACTAAACCAGTGCACCAGCTAATCATGAAAATGGAAAAAAAAAAAAAAAACCCAAGGGTCTCCAACTACCTCAATTCTGTACTGTTTCCTTTAGGATAGATCTTGAAGTCAAAGCCTCAGGAAACATCTAGGCTTAGCCTAGACTAGCTGCAGCCCTCTGAGAAGAGAGAGGAGAAACCTCGCTTCCCCTTTTTAAGTTGTAGCCTTAAGTAGTTCTTGGTAAGACTTTTAAAACAAAACACAAAAGAGAGAAAACAGATGTTACTCACCTCCCCCTTCTCTTGCTTTCTTGTAGCCCATGGGATCAGAACGGATGGAGATGCGCAAACGGCAGATGTCTACAGCCCAGGAGACCCCAGGCTCTGCACAGACACAAAACAACATGGGAACTCGAGGGTCCAATGCCTGCTGCTTTTGTTGGTGCTGCTGTTGCAGCTGCTCATGGTATAGACTCTTATTCAAGCCTCTCGGGAACAGAAGAAAAGGGGAGGGAGGTGACACTCAGTGTATAGGACAGCATGAGCCAAACACAACTTGTACAATCTGGGACTATACGAGAGCTAGTACTAGATGCAGCATTCTGCTCCAGTTTGCTTTTTTTTTTTTCCCCCCCACTGTTTTGGAGGGGAAAAAAAATACTGCATAAAGCATTTTCCAAAAGGAAACAGAAAAACTAAGGTAGCATTTAAAAAGCAAAGATACTCTAGTTCTTTCCTGAGCCTTCCTCTAGGTTGTGCAACTGCACGCACACATGCATGGAAGTGACCCCCTTGTTAATGAAGCACCAGCTAGCACATTACACTGAATAACAAAGTGGTTAAGAACAACATTTGCTTATCCTATGGGCATTAAGGGTTCTGTAGAGTCCTCTTATGTGCCTCCTTTTAAGAAACCTTACTATCCTCACTCTGCACACTCTTGTAAGTATAGGTTCTAGCCCCCAGACCAAGTAAGTGCCAAGTATTACCATTCTGCTTAGTAGCATTTCATACCTATTTTGCACAGAAACAAAGAATGTCTAATGTGCTCCCATGAAGCATTGGACTTGCAGAAGTTACCTGGAAACAAAGTTGCATACTCACTGCACTGACCACTTGCACTTTAACAAAGTAAGCTACCTAACAGTTACTGTGTGCTAGAAATAGCAGCGTAGGCACTTCAGAAAAGCAGGCAGTATACTATCAAAACAGGCTAGCCTTGCAATTAACTCCCATTTTATAGATGATTTGGCATCTCCAGTGGCTTCAGTAAGGTTATTATGACTGACTTTAAAAAGAGATTTAAAAGATAGGTCATACAGACATTTCAGATTTGATAAAGATACAGTCTCCCATCAAATTCTGTGACTTACATTATCAACAGAGTCAAGCCGAACTGTCTCTTCCAGCCCTTAGGTTTGATTCTGTCTCCTTATGTCTCCTTAAATGCCCACTTTCGCTTCCCTGTGTTAAGTCTTTTTTCACTCAAATGGGAATGGGAGGCAGAGAAAAACGGTGTAAGTAAGGAGGTATTATCATCCCATTTTTCCCTAC